GAACATAATAATGACTAAATTAATTACAACATTAATACATAATTAAACACATAATTAAGTCGCGCATTAATTGTTGGCCGTTACTCTTCTTGGCTGGCAGGTCAGCCTGGCTGGCAGGCTGGACGCTTGAGCTCCCTCCTGCTGGACTGGAAGGCGGGCTCCCGGGTAGGCTGGACCGCAGGCTCCCAGTTGGGCTGGACCGCAGGCTCCCAGCTGGGCTGGTGGTCGGCAGGCTCCTGGATAGGCTGGAAGGCGGGCTCCCCACTGGGCTGGAAGGCAGGCTCCCGGGTAGGCTGGACCGCAGGCTCCCAGTTGGGCTGGACTGCAGGCTCCCAGCTGGGCTGGTGGTCGGCAGGCTCCTGGCTAGGCTGGAAGGCGGGCTCTCGGGTAGGATGGACCGCAGGCTCCCAGCTGGGCTGGTGGTCGGCAGGCTCCTGGCTAGGCTGGAAGGCGGGCTCCCCACTGGGCTGGAAGGCAGGCTCCCGGGTAGGCTGGACCGCAGGCTCCCAGTTGGGCTGGACCGCAGGCTCCCAGCTGGGCTGGTGGTCGGCAGGCTCCTGGCTAGGCTGGAAGGCGGGCTCCCGGGTAGGCTGGACCGCAGGCTCCCAGTTGGGCTGGACCGCAGGCTCCCAGCTGGGCTGGTGGTCGGCAGGCTCCTGGCTAGGCTGGAAGGCAGGCTCCCCACTGGGCTGGAAAGCAGGCTCCCGGGTAGGCTGGACCGCAGGCTCCCAGTTGGGCTTCCGCTCCTTGATTGCCCTGGTTGGTTGGGCTGACTCGAGCTCTGGGTTGCTGGGCTTGGGCCCGCTGGTCCAAGTTCGGGGCCTGGGCCGATTAGGCTCTGGGCCTAGTCCCATAACCCCATCACGAGTCCCCCACTCCCTTAGTCGAGTAGTAGACTCGGCTAAGAGGGAGTAGTTTAAGTCAGCTGCCGATTTAAAAATATTCACATATCAGGGAGCCATAATTGTGGATTATGGGAATCCCAGAATTGGAAATTCCCAAATTAAATCAGGCTCCCAAAAAAGGCTCCAAATAAATTCCTTCCTTTTCTTTTCTTTCCTTTTCTTTTCTTTCCTTTTTTTCTTTTCCTTTCTTTTCTTTTCTTCCTTTCTTTTCTTTTCTTTCCTTTTCTTTTTCTTTCCTTTCTTTTCTTTTTCCTCTCTATCCTGGAACCGTGTGCGTGCGTCTTCCTCGCGTAGCCCAGCGCCGCAGATGGAAATCCAGCAGGCCGTCACCTCTTCTTCCATACCGGCGGACGAATTGAGTAGTTGGTACCTCAGGCCCGACATCCACACGCGACCGGCCGGCGAGCTTGGCGAGGGAGGGGGCCGGCGACCAAGGGCCGTCGGAATTTCAAGGCCAGGCACGTCCGATGACCCCTCTGCTTCTGTCGGCAACCCACCGGGCCATGGCAACATCCCGTCTTCCCAAGTCGGCAGCCCCATCGGTTAGCGGCAGTGCTTCCAGGTTGGGACGGCGTGTGATGATTCTCAGGTGGGCAAATACTTTGTCCCTAGCGAGCAGCAGGCTGACGTTGGTGGTGGCAGGGCGAACGAGCTATGGTGCGCTGCTGGAGTCAGATCCCTCTCGGACCAGATGGACGGGTGTTGGTGGCTGGCTGTATCGACCCTAGGCGAGATACCAGAAGGTTGGTGCCATGGGCGGCCAATTGGGATCCGATGGATTCTCGGGCAATAGGGTGTCGCCCGGCATCCCCAGGCGAAGGCAAGCTGGCTGGGCGTCGTTCTCGGGGTCCAGTAAATATGGTCGGCGGGTTTGGGATCCATGTTGGTCGACGAATTTTACTGGGGTTTTAGGCTTTGTTACTTCTCTTTTTTTTTGTCTTTGCAGGTTCGCTTCCCGTCCCGCTGAATTGTTTTCAGAATTTGGGGACTCCGTAGCTACCATGGCTCCTAGGCAGTGATGTCCTTGCAGCCAAGGCTCCCGGGTAGTGAGAAATAGGAAGGTGATCCATTCCCCAAGGTGAGCAGACAAGCATTAGTAAAATGTTACACATTGAACCGGCTGAGAGAATACTGATGACGAGAGACCTCCACTGAACTTGGCGACCACCCATCGAGAGGTGAACAACCATGATGAAGACCGCACTGAATTCAGATTCCAGGAGAGTTTCTTGAGATTCCTAGCAATTCCCTTGTCTGGATCATTGTACTTGATGGGCATGGGAACATCCGGCCATGACTGTTGCACCTCTTTTTTTTTTGTAGCTTGTAGCCACCATATGTAAAATTCGAATGAATATTACCTTTTAATTCATATGTTTCCTTTTCTATACTTTGCATTACGAATACTTAGCAATTTATTCGGGGATCTGGCTTCTCTAACCTCCCGGGGGGCGGTTAGGCTGGCGTGGCCGAGCCTATCCGTGCCTCTCCTAGTTAGATAGAAGTGATCTGTTCGCTATTGATATGGAATCAACAAGTAAGCGACTTGTTTGGCCAGCAAGGTCGGACATTGAACCGACGAGGAAGACCCTTAGGTCGGTATCCTGAACGTTCATGACCCGGGGGTCAGTCCTACTGTCACTTTAACCCGTCCAGTTTTCCCGGACTTGGGGAATAATCTGGTTACTCCCGCATGGATAGCCAAACAACAGGGGCGGACCCTGCATGATCCACCAGAACGAACCCGCACCGCCAACTCAGGGATGACGAGAGTGCGAGCTGCTTGGCCAGCGATGTTAGGCTGCGAGCACTCGAAAGGACCCGGAGGTCAGCATCCTGAGTACCCTCGACCCGGAGGCCGGCCCTACCGTCGCCTCGACTGTCGTGGCTAGCTCTTTACTTTAGAAAATTGCCCAGATTCTTGAAAATCGCTTGGCTATTTTCGGTTAAAGAGCCTGCCCGAGGTCGGCCAAACACCGAGGGGGGGCATAGTACCTTTTTTTTTTTTTGCCGCCGCCCTTTATTGCTAAGTGAGGTCGGACCTCTTTTGATGACAAAATATCGCTAGCAAAGTATATTGAATTCATGATGTGGGCGGACCACATGAAGAATTACAAATTGTAATCCCGTGCTCGGAGCACAGGAGTTTACAAAGAAAAGTGAAACTTCGATTTTCTACTGGTAAAACTTCATCAGGTGCTCGGCATTCCAGACGCGGTCTACCAACCGGCCTGTTGTTGTCTTCAACTTGTATGTCCCAGGGCCGATCACTGCGTCAACCACGTAAGGGCCTTCCCACTTGACGGAGAGCTTACCTCCCTCTGTCGGCCTGCTGGCCTTCCTACGTCTTAGGACATAATCACCGACGTCAAAACTCCGGGGTCGGGCTCGGCTGTCTTGGTACGCCTTGACTTGTCGTCGATAGTTTTCCGCTTTGATGAAGGCACGGTCTCTTCTTTCCTCAATGAGGTGGAGCTCGGCTCGGAGCCTCTCCTCATTGCTGGCTGGTTCAAACTCTTCTACTCGCCGGCTGGGAACTACGGCCTCGAACGGTGCCCTCGCCTCAAAGCCATAACACAAGGCAAAGGGGGTCTCTCCTGTTGCCTTCCTTGGGGTTGTTCTGAAGGTCCCATTGTAGGACCTCTTGTACAACTTCCCATCCAAGACGACGTAGCCCGGAGCTCGTCGCCGGACTAACCTTGCCTCCTCTTCTCTCTCATGGAGCGTCCCATCGGCTATGTAGCGTAGGAGGTCATCCACCCAACACCAGGCGACTGGTTGCAGGAGAAGGACGTCAATGGACGGTGAGGCTGATATGCTTGAGGTCGTCATCTCCTCAATGCGTGCAATTCTCGATATATGTTCAGGTAACCCTTGGGATAGCTTTGAGAGGAGGTCTGCATCGGAGTTTTGATTTCTCGGGATGCAGATCAACTCTGCTTGCTTGAACAACCCGAGCAACTCCCGAACAACATCTCGATACTTCATCATTCTTTCTTCCTTCGCTTCGAACTCACCTTTGACCTGTGAAACCACCAGACGGGAGTCACATTTCACCGTTATCCACTCTTCTCCCATGGCGGCCGCCAATCGTAGCCCAGATAGTAGGGCCTCGTACTCCACCTCATTGTTGGAGACTTTGAAAAGATAGCGGTAGGCATAGTAGGCTCGGAATCCCTCGGGTGAGATGAGGACGATTCCGCCCCCGCATCCCTTGGCTCCTGCCAACCCATCAGTCGCTAGAGTCCACCATTGTTCACTGCTCTCCTGTTGCCTATCTGCCACTTCTCGGGCCGTGCATTCCACAATGAAATCAGCCAGAGCCTGGCCTTTGATGGACGTCCGAGGCTGGAAGTCAACCTCGTATTGGTTGAGGAGCATCGACCACTTCACCACCCGGGTTGTGCCGGGCGCCCTCAGAGCGGCACCTAGGGGTTGGTCCGACAGGATTCTGATCGGGTGCGCTTGGAAGTAGTGTGTCAACTTCTTGGCGGTGATGTAGGCAGCATATATTGTCTTCTCGAGCGGGGTGTATCGGAGCTCAGCATTCTGGAGGGTCTTGCTTACATAGTAGACGGGACGCTGAACGCCTTCCTCCTCGCGAACCAGCACGGAACTGATTGCACCTTGGGAAACCCTAAGATAAAGGATTAACGTCTCCCCCCTCTCCGGCTTGCTGAGTAAAGGCTCAGAGAGGAGGTACTTCTTCAAGTCGTCGAAGGCTCGCTGACACTCATCATTCCAGATGAAACCATTTTGTTTCTTTAGGACTTGGAAGAAGGGTAGGGACTTCTCGGCGGACTTGGACATGAAACGTCCAAGGGCTGCTAGCCGGCCGGTGAGAATCTGGACTTCTTTCACCGACCTCGGGGGTTCCATGTCAAGTATTGCCCTTACCTTCTCAGGATTTGGCTCAATCCCCCTCCGTGTGACCATGTACCCCAGGAACTTGCCTCCTTGGACGACAAAGGTACATTTCTTCGGGTTCAGGCGCAGACGGACTGCCTTCATGATCCCGAAGATCTCTGCCAAATCATCTGCATGATCGGATGCCCGGGTGCTCTTGACGATCATGTCGTCAACATACGCCTCCATGTTCCTTCCGAGCACCTTCCGGAATACCTTGGCCACCATCCTCGTGTACGTCGCCCCAGAGTTCTTCAGCCCGAAGGCCATGACAAGATAACAAAAAATCCCCTCTGGGGTGACGAATGAGGTCTTCTCCGCATCTTCTTCATGCATGAAAATCTGATGGTATCCTCGAAAAGCGTCCATGAAGCTAAGGAGCTCACATCCGGCCGTCCCATCGACTAGTTGGTCGATGTTAGGCAATGGGAATGGATCCATCGGGCATGCCTTGTTGAGATCGGTGTAATCAACACACATCCTCCAGGTTGGCGGCTTCGGGGCCAGGACCACGTTTGCCAGCCAGACCGGGTACAAGACCTCCCGGATATGCTTGATACTCAGGAGCATATTGACCTCCTTCTTCACGAATTCCCTCCTCTCGGTTGAGAGGTGTCTTATCTTCTGCTGGATGGGCTTCGCCATTGGATTGACCGCCAGCCAATGGACAACGATGCTTTGGTCAAGGCCAGGCATGTCCTCCGGTCCCCACGCGAAGACAACGCTAAAAAGGACAAGTACCTGGATAATCCTCTCCCTCAAGCCGGCCGGGAGCCCGGTCCCGATCTTGACCTTCCGCTCCGGCCTCTCGGGGTCAATCTGGATCTCCTCCACGTCTGAGGTGGGTTCAGCGCGGAGCTGACCCTCCTCATACTTCATGGCTTTGCTGTTGATAGTGTGGATCCTCAAGTCTTTTGACCGATTTGTTTGCAAGCTTTCAGATAGCAGCTCCTCGCCATTCGCTGATCTCCCCTGGCGACTCCGACGCCATTCGGAGTGGGAATCTTCATGCATAGGTGCTCCTGGGATATCACACATTTGAGGTCTTCCAGGGCCGGCCTTCCCATGATGATCTTATGCGCACAAGTTAGGCGTACGACGATAAACTCGACGTCTAACTTGGATACGCAGGGCTCGGAGCCCACCATCACAGGGAGGACTATGCTGCCCTCCGACTCAATGGAGTCCCCGGTGAAGCCTGAGAGTGGGGTTCTCACCGGGATCAAGTCTTTTCGGTCCAGCCCGAGACCTTGGAAGGTGTCATAGTACATGATGTTAACGGAGCTCCCATTGTCCACCAGGACTCGGTGGACGATCGTGTTGTTGATTTCGACCTTGATGACCAAGGCATCCCTGTGCGGCGGAGGCATCGGTGGCAAATCTGCGTCGGTGAAGAAGATGGGGTCCCTCTTCACCCTCTTGTCGGCGGGAGCCCTGGTTATCTCCCCAACGTATAGGGCTCGGGCCCACTGCTTCCGCTCTCCAGAGGTGTCGCCTCCCTGGGGTCCCCCGAATATGAATGAACATCGATGGTACTTCCGGGGGCCGTTCCCTAGGTCGGCATCGTCTTCCTCGGAGAAGGCGCCGAGCTCTCGCTTCTTGGCAGGCGGTGTCTCCTTTGACGTGGTAGCTTGGTCGGACCGCTGCCACGTCAGGCTCCTCTTCTGCGGGATGCCTCCTTGTTTGCCAACGAATTGGCCCAGGTACCCTTTCTGGATGAGTTCTTCAATTTGCCGCCGGAGAATGACGCAATCATCTGTATCATGCCCTGCTCTCCGATGGAATCGACAATATTGGTCGTGGTTGCGCTTGGCAGTCACCACATCACACTCCTCCGGAAAGTCGACTAAACCTTGCTCCTCCGCGTAGTCGAGGATGGCCCCGACCGGCTGAGCAAGTGGGGTCAATTGCTTGACGGGCTGTAGCGGTCCGCTCGGGACGTCCGCCTTGCCCTTGCCTCTACTTTTGTTACCTCTGAACTTGTTGTTTTTGTTGCTAGCTTTGCCGTCAGCTTTCTCAGCACCCGAACCGGCTTCCTTCTTCTTTTCTTCTTTTGCACCTTCTTCCTCATCTCTTTTCCTCTGCAAGGCGTCCTCCGCCTCGGCTTGCCGGTCAGCACGGCCGAGCGCCTCCTCGTACGAGGTAGGGGGACTTCTGACGAAATCTTTGTAAAGCTCGCCCGATCGGATAGAGTTTGTGAGCATGGCCACCCCGGTCCTGTCATCAAGGCCCTGAACCTTGACTGACTCGGCCCTCCACCTCGCTAGGAAGGTCGACAATGATTCCTTCTTCCCCTGTTTTAGACCGAACAGGTGGCTGAAGTTTTTCTTGACGTCTCGGGAGCTCGCGAACCTCAAGAGAAAGCGCTGAGCCAACTCACGGAAATTCGTGATACTCCCGTCGGGTAGAGAATCATACCATTCACGAGCCGGGCCATCCAAAGTGGCGGAGAAACCGCGGCATCGGATGGCGTCCTCATACCCCATCATGACCATGTAGGAAAGGTACCGAGATACATGATGTTGGGGGTCAGAAGCGCCCTTGTATGCTTCAATGGCGCAGGGCTTGTAGCCCCTCGGCAACGGCGCATCCATGACCGCCCGGGTGAAGGGTTCGGGTATCCGGAGGTCGGCCGTGTAAGGCTCCCCCCCGACGACCCTCCTTCTCAACTCGTCAAGGCGCTGTCGTA